CTCAATAACCAATCTCGGCAACCAAAAAAATTCAAAGCATTTTCTCAGCATCCAAACACCCAAACTATACCATTTTCCAACCAAACAAATGAAAATTAAGATTCTAAATTAATTTATAATTAAATCATAATTTTCTCATCAAATTTTCTTTCTTTAACGGACATTATAGTTTCTCAGTAACCAATCTCGGCAACCAAAAAAATTCAAAGCATTTTCTCAGCATCCAAACACCCAAACTATACCATTTTCCAACCAAACAAATGGAAACCACTAACAATTGCTTCTTTGCCCAACTGCTACTATTCTTTCCATTTTGAACATTAAAATCATTTAAACAATACTTAAAAAATATGAAGAAAAGGATTCAAAAATCCCTCACAACCTGCAACTTGGATAATCTCTTTGCAAACAAACATATAACAAAAAAAAAATACAAAAAAGTGGAGCTGGGTTCAACAGAACCTAGCCTGGGATCCACTGAACCTAGCTCGAACCCAACAAACTGAGTTCATCGAACACGAGCTGGGTTCACTGGAACCCAGCAACTGGGTTCACCAAACCCAGCAGACACAAAGGAAGAAGAGGAAGAAAGAAAAAGAAAAAAAGAAAGGAAGAAGATGATCGAAAGAGTGGAAGAAGATGGATCAAGAAAGGGAGATGGGTAAATTTGTAATTTTTTATTTTCTTATTAAGGCAAAATCGGTTTATGAGTTGGTGATGAGTTGGCGATGATATGTCTTAAAAAAAAATTCCACATCAACGCTTTTTTAAATTGTTTTTGCCATGTCATCAAAAAAATTATAAAAAAATGCCACATGTCGTAGTTAACGGTCTAAATTAACAGAAGAACTAACGGTATGCATTTCTTAGAGTTGAGAGATCAAAAAAATGCAAAAAATTGTTGGGGGATTAAAAATGTGCATTTCTTAAAGTTGAGAGACCAAATTTAACATTTAACCTTCAAAATATATGAAGTCGGCAGAAAGGTATTTCAAATATATAAATTTAAAATAATAAAAATATATAAACTCAATTATATATATTTAAAATAAATTTAATTACATATTTATTTTATAATAATAAATAACGATAATAAATTTAAAAAATTTATATTTAAATACATTCCATAAAATTATATTCCCAAACATATCATAAAGGATGTCGCTCTTATTTGGCTGCCAGCTCATTTTTTCATGATGTGGCAGATAAATAACCAATGTAATTTTTGCAGATATGGATTTCGACATATTTATTTTGTAATAATAAATAATAATATTAAATTTTAAAAAAAAGTTATATTTAAATA